ACTATATTAGCTAAATTGATTTCACACATTTTATAAGTGACCCGTTAGGTAATCAGAACATTGAGTTTACGATATAAATCCCACAGCCAAGCTCACGTCAAACAAATTATTGTCCGTGGTCCATACGGAATTCTTATCACTAGTGTTATGTAAAACACCATATTATATATAAATAAGTCGTATATTATTTTCTTGTTTGCCATATAACTAAAACTTACCACGCATGTGGCTTTTATATTTCATTATTATTAATATAAACAGAAAACGCTAATACAGTACATACTTTAAGTGGCTAACATATTGTCTCAATGTGACTTAATAGTGCACTTTGGCATACTAATTTGCCCTTTCGTTGTTGTCTTTCCTTATGTCTGAGCAACTTACAATCAGCGAGCATCATATTCAAGTGAGTATTACAAACAAAAAGGTCGGCCTCGTACGCACTCGAACGTCTGCCCAATCTTCCAAGTTTGGAAAAATTTTGGGGAATTTAAGGGGAATCCCCATAGTCAAATGACCACCAAAGTTTGGGAGAATATTGGAGAATCGCCCCGGATGGTGGTGCCATTTCCTCAAAATTGGGACGTTGGGTGCCCTTCCGAATGTTAGACCACAAATTTAGCCGATGGACCACAACGACCTATGATGAAGATGGCTGTCGTATTACCTTGCACTGAATAATTATTCATAATACTTATGACTAATAGAACTTACACGCTTATAAGTTGCAGACCGACTCGTTACCTAGATGACTTGGGGAAATGTAGCTTCCATATATCGTGCATACCTACATCAAGCTGTCAAAAGTTGGAGGAGACAGATGTGCTTGATCAACGTACTCTTCATAATTCTCTTTCCCTCCTTAACCATATATTCTACTTTTCCGGGTTGGGGAGTATTCTTTTGCACTCGCGGGTACGAACTCTAATATGAAAGGCGGTCATCATATACTCAAGGTCATATAGTTGATCGAGTTTAGTGAGGAGTCCAACTTCTGGCAAATCCATACATCTTCATATATGCATTTTAAGAGTAATTGTTTTTTTTGTTTTGTTTCCATACATTTTCGTGCACAAGATGTCTTACTTATAATTTTTTTCCCTGGTTAGCGCTTTTTTAGCGAGTTAGTTTTCTACGGGATGTGGACGCTAACCCCATGCCCAAGCTGTCTACACCATGTTTATTTCCTTTCAGATTACCAATCCGTTCTGGAGTATCGTGATCGTGATATGGCTCAACCAAAAAATCACTCACTTAACCTATGTCTTAGCATATCACTGGCATCGCTCTGTTAAATTTTAACAGAACAGGTAGCCAGGTGACTGGCAAGAAGATCAAATTGAAATGCCTAGGATATTAATTAGATCTATGAATAGAAGGGATTTGTCTTAAAACCGGGAATTTTTTGAACGGGTGTCTTGATCGCTCATCGTATGAAAGAGCCAGGAGCTGAAGAAAATAGAACTAATACTAGATAGCGGAGATAAGCACTCTAGAGTTTTAAATCTTTGGGTGGCCAGATATCGAAAGGGAATGATTACGGAGGCTTTTTTGGTGCAGCACCGAGGCTTTTGACTAGACTTTAAAACCTTTACATAGATTCCTGGAGCCTACTTGCCAATCCGTGGGAACTAGTTGCACAAATTTGCCCTGTCAGACAGGACATATCCACTCCCTCGGAAAATTAAGTGACCTTGTGTGTCATCAGACTAACTTTTCACTATTATTTGATAAAAGGATTCGTACTCTTTTACCTAGATGGAAGGGAATGTAGGAAAGATTTAAAATGCCAGACATTTGAGAAACAAGGTCTCGATACAAAAGTATTTATGTCCCAGACACATGTTAAATTAGAAAGGAACACAAAAAGAAAATCTTTTGGTCTGAAAGTTGCATAAAACACATTTATTCATACACAAAACAAAGCACAAAAATGTGCAGAAACATTCGGACATTCTATGGTAATGAGAGTGTTACATCACTAATCGAAGATGGGCAAGATAAAACTTAGTTATCCTCGGACCAGGCCGACACCGAATATACCATAGAAACATCCTTACGTCGAGCAAATGTAAATCCTTCCATCCGTATTCTGGAAATGCAAACCATTGAAAAACTCGATTTTTTTGGTTTTCAAGTATTCTCGATGTAGGCAGATCTATAGGACCCAATGAAATTCGTCCTAAGTTGTCAAAGGAACTCACAAACTTCAACTCAGATCCTTTAAGTATTTGTTTTAGTCTATTTGTAACCCAAGGTAGACTACTAAGTGATTAGCAGAATGCCGTCTTAAGTCCTATCATCTAATAGGCACGAAAAAATCCTGAGAAATATTATCTGTAAGTTTAATCGACACAGATGTTGAGGTACTAATGAAGATATGAAGGGAGCTATTTAATCAACTAAACAAATGTCTGATTCTCTCGAAAAGTCAGTAATATTTTAGAAAAGGTTATCCATGTTCCTCAAACTTATTAATAGCTTGAGAATGTTTGTATACCCTTTAGTTGTACGCATCAAGCTGTTATCTAGATTAAATAATATCAATATTGTGGACAACTTATCTATGTGAACAAACAGGTTGTCTTGTTAGATACTAACAAGAAGCACTGGTCAGTTCCAAGTGGTCAAGATGGAAAGTTGTTCTAAGAGGGTTACTGAAGGATTCAGTTTGGATACCAGATCTATTCCTGTGCATGTAAACGATCGCCCTAGTTTCATATCATCATTGTTTTTGTCATATACCGAAAAAATCAAGATGTGGAAAGGAATAAAAAATAAAGGGAATAGACTAGGTGTTCAGAATGACAAGAAATGATCTAAATAGCGAATAAAGATGACAAATGCTTCCAAGTGCATTGTGGTGTGTGTTGGTCATCAAGGTACAGGTACATACACGGTGAATGATGCTGAATCCTTCATTATTTAGACATAGTGATCAATGGGTCTTTGACAATGATTAAAAGTTACTGTGTACTGCCGTGCAATATCTGCTAAGGGTTTCAGAAACATCTGGCTAATACATAGGTTCTTTAGCCACATAAATGTTGAGACCTTTATAAATTTTCAAGTATTATTCCACCGTCCCAAATTTGAGTATTGCAAGAAGATAGTCATCTAAAACAGGCAGAGAGCTGTCAGAACAAGTTAATAGAACACCATCTAAGTTGATTCCTGGAATCTCAAGACGAGATGTTACTAAATTGTGCATATTTCTCAGTTACATATAGGAGCTAGAGTTGACTTGATTGCAGTTCCTTAAATCACTTATACTTAGTTTTGCATGCAAAACAACCCAATTTTCACTGTCTTTCAAAACGGAATTTCCAAGGACCAGAGTCATTTACCTGTCAAATGACTACAAAACTCCCTGCCTAATGATGGATGAGCGGAATTCTTTACCATAACAAATGGTTGAGGCCCCACCCATCTACGCGTTCTAGAGAGAGAGTTAGATCAAATGAGAGGCCATCATTATCAGGACTAACACATGCGATTGAACCTCCTATCCTTCCCTAACTGTAACTGAGACTAATCTACTCATTTCTCAACTTTTGTCATCAATCCATTCATCTGGACACTAGTTTAATGAGTTCTACACTGAAATCAGTCAGTATTTTGACCGGTAATGTAGCAGATGCTTTTCAGGCTCGGAACCTGAAACTCATTTTAAGCATTACATTGGGTTGATAAAACAGCTACTAAATCAGCTAATGCATCAGGATATCTCCGGAGTCACCTTGCTGAAGATGTATAAACTAGGCGGCTAAATGAACTTGAAACAAAATCAGGCTGCTTCAAGCTGTATTTAGACCTCCTAATGAACAGGACTTAATATTGCAGAGTGGAAATAAACTAAAGGGATCAAAAGATTTTGTCTGTAAGGATTTGATGCTCGCAGACCGCATAAAAAGACAAGAAGTCGGAAAAGAACTGAAATGTAGGTTGAATGCTGGCGAAAAGAACCTAAAATTCGTAAATTTTCGGGTTCTGAGGTTTCGATGGAAAATGATGCTGAAGCCACTGCGGGTGAAACACGAAGCAATTTAGATAGATTTTGGATCAGTTACACAAATGTCCGATGCTTATTCAATAAGCGGTCGAATCTAGGTGTACAGATTGACTCCACGAAGTCAGATGTAATCGTAGACACAGAAACGAGGCTGGCGTAGTCTCTAGACAGTATGTAATTTGACCTTAAAAGCTTCATGTTGGTTGGTGTCGCAAAAATCCAGAGGCATAAAGGAGGGGGAGTAGGTCTATTCGTTAGAACACTATCTCATTTGCCATTATTGACAGTGTATCCCAGAAGAGCATGACGTTTGGGTCAGTTAGTTACCGCTTGAAATGCAAGGGATAAAAGCTACTGATTTGTTCGGTTGACCGCTTTCCAAGACATAAGGTAAATCAGGCCTTTGGTCTGGCAAATAATTTTGATGTGAGCAAATCATCGGGACCTGATGAAATGCAGCCTTAGTTACTAAAAAAATTATATGCTGATTATGTCAAGATATGGAGAGCGATTAGAGCTTAGAGCTTCAAAATGACCTGGAGAAATTACCTGAATGGTCTCAAACTTGGCAGTTGACGATAAATACTCTCAAGTGCATCGTGATGCATACTGATCGTCAAGGTACAGATACATATACGATGAATAACACTGAGCTACCTGTGTCCAGACACACGACGATTTAAGAGTCATCGACAGCCAAGACATAAAAAGCTACTGCACACTGCCAGGCGATGGCCACCAAAGGTTAATACGTAGGGCGTTTAGCCATGTCAATGTTAAAACCTTTTTGGCTTTGTATACAGTCCTTTCCAAACTGAAACTGAAAATTTACTGGTGTGAGAATAATACCACAACTAAATGTTCACTAGGAATAATGCGGTCAAATGACAATAAAGGATTCATCACACTCTACGAAAGATTCGAGCTCAAAAATTAATTTCTTTACGCTAGCTTGTCACTAGGATATTGATCCTTGGAAAGGTCAAATTGTGGTCTCAGGGTCGTTGGGGTTGTTGTGCCCCAGGAAATTTTACAACTTGTGTTCTGGCTATATAGCACCTCTTGATTCTGAATGCGTGTTTTCCCCAATGTTCAGAAGTCTGGCACCAAAAATGTCTAAAAGTCAAGGAAGGGTGGAAAAAAGCTAATTTCGTTAGCTCCACATGACCGCTTTTAAAAGCGGCCAATTGGCACGGCGTATTAGCCAATTTAGCAAGAACAGGGAGATAAAGCGGACATTACCTAATGAAACTCGGTGTCGATTCAGGTTGTACTGCAACTAAAAGTCGCCTTCTCTCACTCTCGGGCGAATTCGCCTAAATGTCTACTTTTTTCTCTTTCCGAATTTATTTCACTGGATTATACTCCTTGGCTAACATCTACAAACCCTAATCCTTCCGATTAATGCTTATAATCTTACCACCTCTACCACTACGGGGTTTGAATTGACAACTGCATCTCTGTTCTAATGTGGTGTGGCAACTCGAACTGATGTACGTACGTACGAAGTTCTACGTTGTTACTGACTGATATGTTGCGATATGTATATCAATTCACGCCTTAGTGATCGCCGAATTGTCTGCTTTTCGCATAAATTTAGGTTGAATTGCTTGCTAATTGTTAGATAAGCTAGTCATGAGTTCTCGAACTTGCATTACGATACTACTGGACTGTAATAAGGCCCATGATATACAGCATTTTCCCACAATTGAAGAATACCTTGGTTTTTATAAGTGATTTCTCAGTCCTATAGGACAGGTTGTTGTCGACATGTGTCTTGAAAAGTTACATCTATATAAGTACAGACTAGTTTCCTTGATTCTTTACCAGGCCTAAGTGGTTATATAAGGGATCTCAAAACACATAAGTGTGTTTACTTCAGAATAAAATAGCGTTGGAAATCAGTCGTTTTTCCCACCATGATCCATTGTGTTCGAACTCGTGTACACTACATCACTGCATTGTCGAATGGGTCTGGCTCCTCCGATTTTGTTCGACCTCATCTTCATGTGAAGATAACACACAAAATTGACGGATTTAAATCTTCCTAGATTTTCTGTAAATAGAGTTACTTCGGAGTTATTCGTTAGAAAGTTGTTACTTGGTACCTTTTTCAAGTTGTCCACGCAATCTCATTAATCTGATTATACTTTGTGTATCGTTTTTATATTAGTATTATTACTCACTATAGCCTATACCAATTAGATTGGGAATTCGGATCACAATATTACTGAGAGCATATTTAGGTTTCTTAGGACAGTTGGCGTATACATAAAAATAAAATTGAATCAAAATAGTAGTGAGTGGACGCCACAGTAGACTGAAGTAGCAATAGTACTGGCTTAACACAGAAATTAGAATTTCACTTGCACAGAATTTCGTGCAGTCGTAGAATCACCCGGAGTTGCATTGTATATGTCCATCCTGAATTGAATAGAAATATATCCAAAGTCTTCAATGATGTGTTTTAAATTTTAATCAATTGGTAAAACGATAGAATAGGACTAACAGTTCGATAGACTAAAAAAACAAAGGCGTTGTAAAGATATACATATAAGGGATTAAAGTTAATCACATAATTAAACATAATTTAGGGAATAGGATCTGATTATAAATCCAATAGTCCAATGTTCGATCAGAGTGTACGGTTATGTAAATCAACATGTTCGGACTAGTGTAGAATAATTACATTAATTTCGAGTAGCCAACAAATAGTGCTATTTAGCTCTACAGAGTAAATTACCTTGTTCTCTATACTCATTCGTTGATTTCTTTCCTGAAGTTTTTGTTAAGCATCACTCCACATTCAACACCAAACTTACCTGACTATTCGTTTAAGTGTGCTTTTAGCTTGATGTTTTGAGTGATATTTAATTTATTTCAAATCTTTCATTTTTATCTGACTTAAGATGGTCAACCCTATAAGAATGGAAATTGATTTAACTACCCAAGTGGCTGAAGCTGCAAATATTGATCGGAATCTAGTCAGTCGTGTGATTCCAATGTTTGAAAATGGTTATACTGTGCCATTTATTGCACGTTATCGAAAAGAAGTAACTGGAGGCGCAGAACCAACAGTGTTGCATAGACTGAAGGAAAAAATGAATGACTGCAAGTAACTGTGACAGTAGTTTTCTTAGTGTAGATGCTTGTAGAATGCTTGTTGATAAAATCGAGAAATCACTCCAGTTTTTTGATAAGAGTGGATTACTAACGAATGAATTATCGCAACAGTTAATGAAATGCAAAACAACTGAAGATATTAAGCTTTTGGGAAGTTTATGAGATTTTGAACTTTAATAGAACTTTGTTAGACAGATCCCTTCAAATCTAAGGGTCCACGCACGCTCGCAGGTCGAGCAAAAGCTGTCAATCTGGAACCTATTGCTTTGGACATACTTCATTCAAATAAGTGTGTTGATATGTATGGTCTGGCACCGCCAGAAGCTAAAAGTAAGGTTATTTAGTCATACTTAAAGTATTTGTATTTCATTAGAATAGTTTTATAGTCAATATCAATACTTTGGGTTCACAAAGTTTCTTGTCATAGAGCGATAAGCCGCCAATGCTTTCAGGTAGGAATAGCCGAAACAAAATAAAGATGAAGTTGTGGTTAGCCGATGGATTAAACTATGTTAAATCCTCAAGAGTATACAACGTGAGTTTAAAGAAATCCGTTAGATGTTCTCAGACTATCTAAAGACTGAATTTCAAAGCTTGATAGTTAAGAAATAAAAATTACAATTACGATGCGTTTCACTACTTTAATTCCAAATTATAGGTATTTCATTTACGGTCCGTTTTCCATTTAAGCTTTAACTAACATATTAGTGTATAAACATTAGTATCAATGTTGGGATGTGATGATTCCAATTGGATCAAGTCGCTAACGAGCATTAAACCCACGATATAGTTGTTGCAGTATTTGACTTGGTAGCTCAATCTTCGGCTTGTATACATTGGTATTGAGAGCCTATGATATCACGGCTACTCACATTATGTGTGCATCAAGCCCGAATGCTTTTATTTATTTCTTTATTTAAACACAAACATTGGTGCAAGGACGCACCGAATTTACACGCGCCACACATTCGATTTGTGCGAGGGTTGGGATACTGTCCGAGTGCTAAACCGAAGCAGGTGGGTTCTCTTAGGCAGCCCTACCTGAGCCTTTGACATTGAGATTCAATCCAGAAGGAAGTGGAGCAACGTCAGGAGATGCATTCTCATGGTAGCAAATGATCGAGAATAGGTCCATATGATATTTGTTCCTTCAGGATCCAGGAGCCCATTTGCACCGTTGGTTTTGAATCAGGATTTTTCAACTCCTCTAGATGGATTCTTGATATCCACCAACCAGATCGAAGCTACGAACATTCACTTTTCGTCCTCTCAATTTCGTAAACAACATCCTTGTGATAAGGCAGTGAGTGGGACTTCCCTGATAATGGCTGTATACGCGTGCCCATGTATTTATCAAATGTATTATTATTATTATTATTATTATTATTATTATTATTATTATTATTATTATTATTATTATTATCAGTATGGGGTCGTGGAGACCATTGAGTTTTTGATTGAGATCATGAACCGATTGATGTTAGACCGCCATTGGAAACCTGGAAGCACTGGACGGTAGTTTCGTTCTACTTTTGGACTGCTCAGCAGTGCGTATCGGCGGTCCCGCCGGCGGGATTCGAACCCTTCGGTCTCGCATGCGAACGCTTAACCTCCAGACCACTGAACCGGCTGGCATCCATCGGTGTTAATGTCTAACCTCAACCAGTTCACGAAATCGCGCGACCATCTCCCATTGTACTGAGGTAGATACCTGTTTCTACCCGATACGGATTATTATTATTATTGTTATTATTGTTTTATATTGACTACTACAAAATGCTGTTTCAAAATTTCATTACAAAACTGGCATAGCATATTTCCTCCACGTTCAAAATGGTCTTACGTAACTATTCTTCTCACTCTTGAAATGTATTTTCCTGCATAAGTGAAATGAACATATCAATATTGAATCTTATGTTCTGTTTTTCTATTGTAGAGACTTTTACATCGAAAACGGCCCTCGAAGATGCTGTATCTCATATCATTGCTGATATTTTTGCTAAGGATTTAGATATAATCCGAAAGGCTGAGGAGTTGTAAGTCAATTCTGTGTATTTGTAATATCTTTTAAACTATATTTTTAAGAAAGTGAATTCTTTATTTTCGGAATTCCTGAATAAGAACACATTCAGGGTGAACATTGTTCATATCTTTTCATGGATAAAATTTATTAGAATGAAAGTTTCATTTAATTCGCATACAGTTTAAAATATTGGATATCAAATTATATTTGCAAAAATCCCCATGACTTAAAGTTTCAGCTTGTAGACCATTCAAAATTTCTCCTCGGAAATAATCAGATGCAAAATTGTGTTCAAGTAGCCTTTCGTTTGTCTATAGCTGTGAAACAACCTATGGAAGTGGAAGACGTGTGTATGGTGTAAGCTTTTGATCGTGGTTATCTTCAAAGCATTATTTACATGTGTTAGGACCCCCGAGTTCAACACCCTCTTAAAGGCGAAAGTACTAGACCAGTTATAGCTGTCAATTTTCACCGATTGAAGTAGTTTGAACGGACATATACACCAACAGAGGGCCTGACAAATGTATTTTAGTCCAATTTGCCATATCTGATTAGCTCAACTCAATGAAAATAATGCAAGAGATTGAAATAATGTAGCAGTGAGAAGAAGAACGACTAAATCGTTTGAGTATGGTTGGCGAAGTCAGGCTAGAATTGCGTGCACGATGGGATATTGGGATTCAAGATCAAAAGGAAGATAAAGAGTTCGACTGCGCCATCGTGAATGATTTCTATCCGTATGACTCAAAGTCTTCAGCCACTGGCCACAGTTGTTGTATGATGCCCAGCTAGGTAGTCTGCTTCTAACTATATCGCTTAGCTCAACATTTTGTAGCTAGATGAACTGATGCCAGATTTTGGATTAGGTGGCCCTAGCTTCTTTCCAGTCTACTTCTATATCATGGAGCATCTGTCGTCGAAATAGACGGTGGTTAAGTGAGCGTGAGAATATTGTTGGTGTTAGTCATGTTTATAGATATAGATTACGTGATCTTAACCTGCACAACAAACACTACCAGTGGTTAGATACTCTACGTTTCATGAGTCAAAGTTGACCACTGGTGCATTTACTTGATCTTCCCTAAATTTTAAGTTTCAGTGTTTTTTCATACATATTTAGTGTTCCTTTCCTTACTCAAAAAGTATACTTTGAATGCTCAGTCATTTTACTATGATTATTACTACTATTATTTTTACTCTTTCACAATTCACCTTGTCAATGTCATCTAGTAATGCCGATATTGTATAGGAACCTGGGCTACCTTACCCATTTGCCAATCTCCTTATTGATAATCACCATGTTCAAATGATGTTATATTTTGTTTTCTGTTTATATATGTATTGCTCCATTCAAAAGCTAGTGATCATATAAAGCGGTAGGGTATATGCCTAGGCAATCTTACAGTTATTTTGACTGTCACAGAACTGTGACAGCATTATTTTATAAGTGTCATTATCAAAGATTTTCGTCTGACTTGTTCTTGGTACTACTCGACATTTACTACGATTTGTTGGAAACAGTTAGCAAGCTACGTGATAAATCTTTCGGCATCATTATGAATATGGTTGTGGATAGATATTTGAAATCTTGCAAATTACTGGCAAGTGGGTTTTGGTCACATCCTTCTCCTTGTATATCTTCCGTTAGACCGAGGCAGATACATCCGAATAAATACTTGCAAGCAAAAGTACAATATCGTACAATTATCTAGCACAATAACTGTGTGACAAACAGGTTATAAAAGCGAACCTAAACAAAAACTTATATTCTTGAACATGTTGCTAAAGATTCTTATTTCTAAAGAATATCTCATTTAGTTCTATCTAATATGACATGTGCAGGTATATTTTTGCACGACATAAGAAGAGAAAGAGAAGCTTGTTGAAATATCGTATGCTAATAATTTCGTGCTGCACTAAACCTATGATACTGAATAAAGCCATTGTTACATAGACTCTTTATAGCTCAGTGAATGCTCGTGAGTTTCTGCTCTACAGTTTAATTATCACTGTCGATCAGTGTCGCTACTGGTTAGAGTTTGGTATCTCTGACTTATTTTTACCTGCAAAGTACTAAATAGTCACGCGTAGACGATAAAACGTGAAATGACGATGCGGAAGAAGTAGACTGGCTTTTTAGGACTTACAGAAGCGTTTTAAACAATGAAAAAGATAGGATAAATATCGTACTATAGATTAAGAGGTATTTTAAAGGAGAATGAAATTGTTATACATTTAATTTATTAAAAGATATTGCTTTTGTGATCCTGGTCTGTGTTATTTATTGAATTGGGTACACATACCTAATAATATGTAAGTTGAATAATCGCTTAAAATCTATTAAGAATTCTGAAGGTTTATTGTATACACTTACCATTTAATTGTCTGTTCTCATATTAGATGTTCAAAGTACAGTGCTACACTTGTCACAGCTAGGAAATCAAAACGTGGTAAGAAAGGTGAACAATCGTCAGGAGGTAGTCTTCCGAACACTATGTCCATTGATTTTGATGAGAATGAGAATGCTGATTATGCTGAATGTGTTCAGAATTCTCATTCTTTTATGAATGATACTATTAATAATTTTAAAAAGGATGATTTGGTTACATTTAAAAATTATTTAAATTTTTCTCGCCCCGTGACATCGATATTAGCACACCAGGTAAGTTTAAGGTTATTTTTTTACTTACTATTACCAGGTAAATATTCATTTATTTGGTTCATAGGTAGACTTTACTCGTGAAGGCTAGCGGCACTACCTGGTTACTGAAATGCAAGCGGGCTTCGGACCTGTGCGGTTTTGTGACTGAAACCCGAGCACTTTAACCACTGATCCCAACATTAAATATTGATGGGTAGTAAGGCTAGGAAGCTTCAAACTGATATAAAATTATTAATGAAGGGGTTTTTTGGTGTTAACGAGATAAATATTGTATTAAAGCATATGTTGTTCAGGATTGTGTTGGGGCACACTGATTGGCCATTTCCTAACTAATCAGCGCTAGCGAACACTTGGAGAGGACTCTAGAATCTTATGTAAAAATTGTAAATGTGCTAAAGTTTTTCTTAGTGTGAATCCTACATACATCCAACCTTATTTATTTGTAATATAATTAATCTCCTGTTCAACCGTGTTCTG